TATTCAAATATGCTAAAATTCGAGAGTTCATGTTACGTTCTTCATTCGTGCTACGTATTTCGGGGAAATAGCATGTCACAGATCCACCTGCCAACTTCTGCTTTATGCAATATCACCATTAGACATTTGACTATGTAAGTAGACTATAAACTTGTACAATTGGTCATTCTTTATTGCAATATCATACGGAAGTCGCGAGCCCGTGACTCGGTTATACTATGCTTCGCAACATGCATGGTTATAGTTGGATGTATATTAGTAATATTCGCCAACGATTCGACGAACTCAAGCAAATGCGCCACCTGTCAGATCTTTTCTAAATACTATAATACAATTACAACATAATTTAAAGTCGTAACTTGGTATTTATTGCTGGTTTATGTTCAGTTGTTTACGATGTATTTGTTTGTGGTATGCGATATTGCGGAACAATACGTTTTAATTAAAATTTAAAGTAGATGATATTTTAACGCACTGGCTGTTGGTACACAACACGAAAGCGGTATAAATAATTGCATCTCTGTACGCACTGATTTAGTGTAAATGTTTATACCATTTTTAAGTTAGTCAAACACCAGATATACTCCCAGTAAGTATATATTTGAAACATCTAGCTATAACGATTGGTCAATCTATTTTGTGTTTCCCTAACAAATCGGTGTCTACAGAGCTGCAATTATTACACCATGTTTTAGTAACACCCAGAAATTTAGATTGCACGAAAACATAGTAGGCCTAACTTCAATACTGAAATTCGAGTGCAATTTTTACAAATATTGGCAAACTTTATTCAAACAAAGCTGGTGCATAGAGTACAAAACATATTAAATTTACAAGAAAGACTACATTAAAAATTAGAATTATACTAGTTATAACTGATCAGAAATTGTTAGGACATCGAAGCAATACTTGGCTACCATATTGTCACCACGGATTGTCTTTCATGTAATGTCATACATATACATACATTATTTAATATCCATAGTGAACTCGCGTTGTAATGCAAACATGCCCCTCGCAGGTTATCGGAATAAACTAAATTCATGGATTCTGCGTCGCAGGCAACTGCGGAGGACAGGAGGAGTAGTATAATTGCTTATATTTGTAATTTTTTTTTTTTTTCTGTGCTGGTGTTGTGTACTCAGGTGAATAATATGTTTGTGATGTTACTCTGAGTGCATATCCACACCGGGCGAGCTTGAAAGATATGCCTGGTCACGGTGGGATTCGAACCTACGACCTTTGGAATACTAGCCCAATGCTCTTCCAACTGAGCTACGCGGTCAGGACGGTTCGAGTAAGTGATATTTCGGAACAGTATCTAGTTCCTTCAATACCAATGTGTTCTTGTAAAATGAATTTTTTCTGTGCTGGTGTTTTGTACTCAGGTGAATAATATGTTTGTGATGTTACTCTGAGTGCATATCCACACCGGGCGAGCTTGAAAAATATGCCCGGCCACGGTGGGATTCGAAACTACGACCTTTGGAATACTAGCCCAATGCTCTTCCAACTGAGCTACGCGGTCAGGACGGTTCGAGTAAGTGATATTTCGGAACAGTATCTAGTTCTTTCAATACCAATGTGTTCTTGTAATATGAATTTTTTTCTGTGCTGGTGTTGTGTACTCAGGTGAATAATATGTTTGTGATGTTACTCTGAGTGCATATCCACACCGGGCGAGCTTGAAAAATATGCCCGGTCACGGTGGGATTCGAACCTACGACCTTTAGAATACTAGCCCAATGCTCTTCCAACTGAGCTACGCGGTCAGGACGGTTCGAGTAAGTGATATTTCGGAACAGTATCTAGTTCCTTCAATACCAATGTGTTCTTGTAATGTGAATTTTTTCTGTGCTGGTGTTGTGTACTCAGGTGAATAATATGTTTGTGATGTTACTCTGAGTGCATATCCACACCGGGCGAGCTTGAAAAATATGCCCGGTCACGGTGGGATTCGAACCTACGACCTTTGGAATACTAGCCCAATGCTCTTCCAACTGAGCTACGCGGTCAGGACGGTTCGAGTAAGTGATATTTCGGAACGGTATCTAGTTCCTTCAATACCAATGTGTTCTTGTAATATGAATTTTTTCTGTGCTGGTGTTGTGTACTCAGGTGAATAATATGTTTGTGATGTTACTCTGAGTGCATATCCACACTGGGCGAGCTTGAAAAATATGCCCGGCCACGGTGGGATTCGAACCTACGACCTTTGGAATACTAGCCCAATGCTCTTCCAACTGAGCTACGCGGTCAGGACGGTTCG